TGGAGGATTGGGCCAAAAGAAATCTGATGAGGTTCAATAAGGATAAGTGCAGGGTCCTGCACTTAGGACGGAAGAACCCAATGCACAGCTACAGACTAGGGACCGAATGGCTAGGCAGCAGTTCTGCAGAAAAGGACCTAGGGGTGACAGTGGACGAGAAGCTGGATATGAGTCAGCAGTGTGCCCTTGTTGCCAAGAAGGCCAATGGCATTTTGGGATGTATAAGTAGGGGCATAGCGAGCAGATCGAGGGACGTGATCGTCCCCCTCTATTCGACATTGGTGAGGCCTCATCTGGAGTACTGTGTCCAGTTTTGGGCCCCACGCTACAAGAAGGATGTGGATAAATTGGAAAGAGTCCAGCGAAGGGCAACAAAAATGATTAGGGGTCTGGAACACATGAGTTATGAGGAGAGGCTGAGGGAACTGGGATTGTTTAGTCTGCAGAAGAGAAGAATGAGGGGGGATTTGATAGCTGCTTTCAACTACCTGAGAGGGGGTTCCAGAGAGGATGGTTCTAAACTATTCTCAGTGGTAGAAGAGGACAGGACAAGGAGTAATGGTCTCAAGTTGCAGTGGGGGAGGTTTAGGTTGGATATTAGGAAAAACTTTTTCACTAGGAGGGTGGTAAAACACTGGAATGCGTTACCTAGGGAGGTGGTAGAATCTCCTTCCTTAGAAGTTTTGAAGGTCAGGCTTGACAAAGCTCTGGCTGGGATGATTTAATTGGGGATTGGTCCTGCTTTTGAGCAGGGGGTTGGACTAGATGACCTCCTGAGGTCCCTTCCAACCCTGATATTCTATGATTCTTTGTTTACGTGGTTGTTCTCTCTTGGGACTGAGAGAGGCCAGACAGAAATCCATCTTCTCCAACCCATCCTAATCCAAGTCTCCAATATTGCAACCAGTAGAGGTGAGCCAAGCAAGGCGGATTAGTTTATCTTTTGGTTTATGTGAATTTTCCCTGTTTTAAGAGGGAGCTTTATTCCCATTTTCTGTGACTTTAAGGTTTGCCCAGAGGGGGATCCTCTGTGTTTTGAATCTGGATACCCTGTAAAGTATTTTCCATCCTGATTTTACAGAGATGATTTTTACCTTTCCTTTTTTTAAATAAAATCCTTCTTTTAAGAACCTGACTGATTTTTCCATGGTTCCAAGATCCAGGGGTTTGGGTCTTTGGTCATTTTGTAACCAATCGGTTCGGATATTATTCCCAAGCCTCCCCAGGAAAGGGGTGTGTAAGGCTTGGGGGGATATTTTGGGGGGAAGACGTCTCCAAGTGGGTTCTTTCCCTGTTCTTTGTTTAACATGTTTGGTGGTGGCAGCGTACCAGGCTTTAATCTAAGCTGATAGAAATAAGCTCAGGGGGCTTTCATGCGGGTCCCCACATCTGCACCCTAGAGTTCAGAGTGGGGAAGGAACCCCTGACAAGCTCAGTATTCTGTCTTCCGATAGTGACTATTCCAGGAGCTTCAGAGGGAATGAACAGAACAGGGAATCATCGAGTGATCCATCCCGTTGTCCACTCCCAGCTTCTGGCAAACAGATGCTAGGAACACTCAGAGCATGGTGTTGCATCCCTGCCCATCCTGACTAATAGCCATTGATGGACCTAACCTCCATGAACGTACCTAGTTCTTTTTTGAACCCTGGTATAATTTTGGCCTTCACAACATCCCTGGCAAAACGTTCCATGGGTGACTGTGTGTTGTGTGAAGAAATACTTCCTTTTGTTTGTTTTAAACTTGCTGCCTATTAATTTCATTAGGTGACCCCTGTTTCTTGTGTTATGTGAAGGGGTAAATAACACTTCCTGATTCACTTTCTCCACACCAGTCAAGATTTTATAAGCCTCTAGCATATCACCTCTTAGTAATTTCTTTTCCAAGCTGAAAAGTCCCAGTCTTTTTAATCTCTCCTCGTACGGAAGCCGTTCCACACCCCTCATCATTTTGGTTGCCCTTCTCTGTGCTTTTTCCGATTCCAATATATCTTTTTGAGATGGAGTGACCAGAACTGCCTGCAGTATTCAAGATGTGGGCATATCATGAATTTATATAGTAAAAGTGGAGGAACTTGGTTTGCCAGACTGATCAGCTAAACCAATACTGACAACCTATATGAAAAGGCTGCAAAACACCATGCCTCTGGACTGCAACAACGTGCAGATAGCCTTATAAGCCAGTCACTGTCAAAGCCAATTTTTGGAGAACTTAATGAGGCTGTTAAGAATGATGGAGACACAACTCAGTTTATACAACGAAGAGTCCTTGTGGCACCTTAGAGACAAACAAATTTATTTGGGCATAAGCTTTCGTGGGCTAAAACCCACTTCATCAGATGCATGGAGTGGAAAATACAGTAGAGAGGTATAAATACACAGCATTTATTGAAAAGATGGGAGCTGCCTTACCAAGTGTGGGGGGTCAGTGCTAACGAGCCAATTCAATTAAGTTAGAAGTGGGCTATTCTCAACAGTTGACAAGAAGGGGTAGAAATCACTTTTGTAGTGCTAATGAGGCCAATGTGATCAAGGTGGCCCATTTCAAACAGTTAACAAGAAGGTGTGAATATCAGCAGGGAGAAATTAGTTTTTGTAGTGACCCATCCACTCCCAGTCCTTATTCAGGCCTAATTAGATGATGTGCAGTTTGCAAATTAATTCCAAATCTGCAGTTTCTCGTTAGAGTCTTTCTGAAGTTTTGTTGTTGAAGAATTGCCACTTTTAAGTCTGTTATTGAGTGTCCAGGGAGATTGAAGTGTTCTCCTACTGGTTTTTGAATGTTATAATTCTTGATGTCAGATTTGTGTCCATTTATTCTTTTGCATAGAGACTGTCCAGTTTGACCAATGTACATGGCAGAGGGGCATTCCTGGCACATGATGGCATATATCACATTGGTAGATGTGCAGGTGAACGAGCCCCTGATGGTGTGGCTGATGTGGTTAGGTCCTATGATGGTCCTATCTCGGGGCTTCTCCTTCTGCCCCACCACCCCCATGAACAGGATACAGTTCTGCAGTGACCTAGAATCCTACTTTCGACGTCTCCAACTCAAGGAATATTTCCAACACACCACTGAACAGCATACTAACCCACAGAGGCCTTCCTACCAACGCTACGAAAAGAAGGATTCTGCGTGGACTCCTCCTGAAGGTTGAAACAACAGACTGGACTTCTACATAGATTGCTTCTGCCAACGTGCACGGGCTGAAATAGTGGAAAAGCAGCATCACTTGCCCCATAACCTCAGCCATACAGAGCACAACGCCAGCCACAGCCTCAGAAATAACTCTAACATCATAATCAAAATGGCTGACAAAGGAGATGCTGTTGTCATCATTAATAGGTTGGAATACGAACAAGAGGCTGCTCGGCAACTCTCTGACACCACATTCTACAGGCCATTACCCTCTGATCCCACTGAGGGTTACCAAAAGAAACTACACCGTCTGCTCAAGAAACTCTCTGAAGAAGCACAGGAACAAATCTACACAGACACACCCCTAGAGCCCCAACCAGGGGGTATTCTATCTGCTACCCAAGATCCATAAACCTGGAAATCCTGGACATGCCATTATCTCAGGCATTGGCACCCTGACAGCAGGATTGTCTGGCTATGTAGACTCTGTCCTCAGGCCTTACACTACCAGCACTCCCAGCTATCTTCGAGACATCACTGACTTCCTGAGGAAACTACAATCCATCAGTGATCTTCCTGAAAACACCATCCTAGCCACTATGGATGTAGAAGCCCCCTACACCAACATTCCACATAAAGATGGACTACAGGCCGTCAGGAACAGTATCCCCGATAATGTCACGGCAAACCTGGTGGCTGAACTTTGTGACTTTGTCCTTACCCATAACTATTTCACATTTGGGGACAATGTATACCTTCAAATCAGCAGCACTGCTATGGGTACCTGCATGGCCCCACAGTATGGCCACATTTTTATGGCTGACTTAGAACAACGCTTCCTCAGCTCTCGTCCCCTAACGCCCCTACTCTGCTTGCGCTACATTGATGACATCTTCATCATTCAGACCCATGGAAAAGAAGCCCTTGAAGAATTCCACCATGATTTCAACAATTTCAATCCCACCATCAACCTCAGCCTGGACCAGTCCACACAAGAGATCCACTTTCTAGACACTACAGTGCAAATAAGCAATGATCACATAAACACCACCCTATACCGGAAACCTACTGACCGCTATACTTACCTACATGCCTCCAGCTTTCATCCACACCACATCACACGATCCATTGTCTACAGCCAAGCTCTAAGACACAACTGTATTTGCTCCAATTCCCCAGACAGAGACAAACAGCTACAGGATCTCTATCAAATGTTCTTAAAACTACAATACCCACCTGCTGAAGTGAAGAAACAGATTGACAGAGCTAGAAGGGCTGAAGACTATCGCCATTCTCTCTCTTGTAAATCTACTGTTGAAACCACTTGGGTCATTAAACAATGTCATCCAGGCTTTTGCTACAACAGTAGTAGATCTTTGTCTACCCTTGGAGCAATCCGAGAGCTATCCACTGAAAAGCGTACGGGAAGAAGCAAAGAATTCAGTCCAGAAGTTGACTAATGAAGGTATTTATATTGACTCCTTAAGTGAAGGGGACAAGAAGTGTTTGTTAAGCCAGCTGAAAAAGTACACAGACTTGATTTTTACAAATCTACAGTAGAAATTTCTGGATTCTACTCGACCTCTACGTAGCTTTTACAGATGCCTGTTCTATAAAACACCGACAGTTGAGTGGGGGCAGGCACTGCCAGCCATGGGGCTGCCAAGTGCTCAGGACAGAGTAGAGAATTTTGAACACAGAGTGGAATATCATAGGACAAACAAATGAAGATTTGACTTCAACTTCTTTTTTATCATCACTAGTGGCTCGACCCGATCTTTGTGCTGTTTCCCGGGATGAAAGAAGTAGGAATTCATCTCTTGCGGCTCCCAGTCACAACAGCTACAGCCAAGCGTTCTTTTCATCACTGAATAGAATTTTGTGTTTTGAAAGAAGTCGCCTTCTGCCTGATCATGAGCATAATCCTGAAGGACTGGAAGTAATGGACACACAAGAAGACACCAAAATTACAGGAAGAAACCAAGAAGGTTGTAGCTATTGAACTCCTGTTCTTTTTTGTAGTACAGGGAGTAGCCAACTTTAATTTTTGTGATGATTTTAAAACTTGAGTTAAATCTAATAAAATAGTCATGAAACATTTTTCAGTTTTTAATATGGTGCCATACAGCCCACCTTTGCCCTCACAGTCTCAACCCTTGTCGGCCCTCACCTGCCCTGAATAGTACACACACACACAATTTCAATTCCTGGGGAAAACACTGGCCAGCTCCAGGCAGTGAGCGATCAGAGCATTTCTGTGCTGAGATGACAGGCAGAAGACCTGGGCCTCAAGCAGGGCCTTGAGCTGCAGACTCCAGCCCCATATCAAGGGGGAGGGGATAGCTCAGTGGTTTGCGCATTGGCCTGCTAAACCCAGGGTTGTGAGTTCAATCCTTCAGAGGGCCATTTAGGGATCTGGGGGAAAAATTGGGGATTGGTCCTGCTTTGAGCAGGGGGTTGGACTAGATGACCTCCTGAGGTCCCTTCCAACCCTAATATTCTATGAACCAGTCCCCTCTTTCCAAACCCAAACCCATTCTAATGTCTGAATATAAATCAGCAGGCAGCCACATCCAAACAGTTTGTGCAGTACTGGTCACCATGTCCCTGCAGGAGGTTCAGAGAAGGGTAACAAGTGTAATCAAGAGTCCAGAAAAGCTCTCCTATGAAGACAGGTTGAAGAGACTAGGATGGTTATCTAAGGCTTTGTCTACACTGCCGCGCCACTAAAAGGTGCGTAGTGTAGCTGGCTGTTTGTTGGCGGGAGAGAGCTCTTCCGCCAACAAAAAACTTCCACCTCCCATGAGCGGCAGAGCGCTCCTGTCGACAAAGCGCTGTTCACATGGGTGTTTGTCAGTAAAACTTTTGTCATTCGGGGCAGGGGGAGATTTAACACCCCTGAATGACAAAAGTTTTGCCGACGAAGTTCCAGTAAAGACAAAGCCTTAGAAATGAGAAGAGGGGCCACAATGGAATCCAAAAAATGCTGACTGGAATAGAGGAAGTAGATGGGGAGCAGCTATTCTCCCAGTCTCAGAACAAGGGTGTATTCAATGAAATTGAAAGGTAGGAAATTCAAACATCAATAAAAGGAAATCTCCCTGCCCTCAACACGTAATTAGCCAGTGGAACTCACTGCCACATGAAGTCATTGCAGCCAGGAACTTAACGAGAATCGAAATAGGACTGAGGCATTGATACAGCTAATACAACTAGCCAGGGTGATCATACGTAACGATGACAGAGGATATTGACCCTCCTGCTTCATGGCTTGAGCCAATCTCTGTCCACTAGAGATGAGGAGGGGTCCATGTGTGATGTGGATTATTCAGCACCTCCTATTGTGGGGTTTTTACACCTTCCCCTGCAGCAGCTGGTGCCAGTCCCGGCTGGAGATAGGATACTAGGCTGCACCCAGGATCTGACCCAGTCTGGCAGCTCCTATGTGCCTCATGCTCAGTGTATTTGCCCTGCCTGTCCCCTTGGCCAGGCCTCCTGTGACAGACTCCACGCTCTGCTCCAGCTGGGACATTGTCTGTCCCCCCTGAGGGAGCTCTCCTGCCATTCCTCTTGCCCCCTCTTAAGCCCCACAGGGGGGGCACTCCTGGGCCCTAGGAAAGCCTGGTCCTCCTCTCAGTGTAGCTGGAGCCTGGACTGTGACCAGTCAGAGCCAGAAACTCAGCAGGCAGGGTGCCAGCAACGGCTGCCAAGTCTAGCGGTTCAGAGCAATGTGGCATGGTGACATCACAAACCACAGCTGGGCCCGAGAGGCCCGAGCACCCCCCGCAAGCCCAGAAAGTGCGGGGGAAAGCTGACAGCTCCAGCCACCTCCAGCTCTGAGCCGAAGGCTCCACTCCCCACTGGCTTTTGACACCCCACCTGGGGTCTCGTGAGTGATCCCTCCCAGCCATGCAACCGCTGCCTGGGCCTGAAAGACCCCTGCCTACCCAGAGATGGCAGGGGAGCCAGAGAGACAGGTGGGTTCTGCCCTGGTGCATGCTGCACCAAGCACGGTGCAAAGAGCAGGAGCTCTGTCGGCAGGGCCTGGGGCAGTCAGCCAGCAAGAGAGCCCTGCCCAGAGATCCTGGCAGGCAGGATCCCCTTGGGCTCGGGATGCAGGGAGACCAGCTGTGGCTGGCACGTCCCTGCACAGTCTTATCTTGAACCAGCAGCTGCACCCCCTGCCATCTGGCTGGGGGAGGGGAGCAGGAGGGAGGGAGAAGAAACCGCAGAGGTTGGTGTATGTCTGCGAGGGTCAGTGCGGGAGAAGATGGTGCTGAAACCCAGTGTACCCAGCTGGACCCAGAGACGGGGCCTGGCCTGGAATGGAGCCAGGGTGAAGGGTTGGGCCTGAGAGAAGTGCCCAGAGACGCTGGGAAAGGACAGTCCTAGCCCCTGCATTGCTCACGCTGCCTGCCGGTGATCACACACTCTGGGGGTGGCGGGGGGGGAGGAGACAGTCCCATGATCCCCTTGCTCTGTTTGTAGTTCATGCGGGGTTAATAAACGACCAACAGCTGCGATAAGCATGGTCCATGCAGCAGGGCAGGTTTTGAGATGGCCCCCGCGCCCAAGAGGAGAAGGTGCCTAGACAGGGCGAAGCCAGGGCTCGGAGCAGCCTATGGGGTTCTGACAACCCACTGAAACATCTCTCAGTCAGTTATCCCATCAATGGGACTGCAACAGGCAGCGCAGCCAGGGAGCCATTCGCCGCACAGCGGGCGCCACCGTACCATACTCAGGCAATCTCTGCTCCTTGCCTGCTTGGCCCGAGGCAGCTCCCTGTGCCTGGCTGGGGGGCATCACGCAGGCAGCACAGGGACCCAGGAGCAGCCGTCGGGGCGGCGGTCTGGCTCTAGGTCTGCAAGCACGTGGGCTGCACTTCCTTGGGCTGCCTCCCAGGTCAGCTCTGTTAGCTAGAGACCCCCACTGGTCTGACTCCTGTGTCCCTACCTGTGTTTGCTGTCATGTCCTGCTTTCGCCAGCACCATGCAAATGGAGAGCCTCCCTCTGCCACCCACTCCACGGGCCGGGGACTTCTTCAAACAGCCACCTAGGAGAGAAGCCAGTGGGGAAAAGCCATACACAGCACCAGGAGTAAAGAGAGAGACAGCAGGGATGGCATCATGCCACAGAGTGCCCCAGTGCCAAGTTAAGCTGAGACTCCAGGAAACATGATACCTTTTGTTTTGTATGTAACCACTCTGTGCCCACCATTATCCCAAGGTGCCATCTCTGAAGTCTTAGCACTGATTATTTTCACTATAGTCCATCTCAAAGCTGGCATCCTGGGTAGGGGTGACCAGATGTCCTGATTTTATACGGACAGTCCCGATATTTGGGGCTTTTTCTTATATAGGCTCCTATTACCCCCCACCCCCTACCCCGATTTTTCACACTTGCTGTCTGGTTACCCTAAGCCTGGGGCTGAGCTCAGCTGACCCAAAGAAACTGGAACAGCGCACAGTGTGCTGGGGGCCATCGCAGCTGGGAGCTTCTGTGAGCGGCCAGTGGGTCAGGGCTGGACACTGCAGGGGGCTCGGGGGGCATGGCAGAGCATGGGCTGGCGTTGCCCAGTGGAGGCTGTTGGGTGCAAACAGGCTGGTGGTGTCAGGAGCTGAAACAGCAAGTCTTCCTCGCTGGAGGTGGGGCAGGGGAGTAAACAAGGCGACTCTCCACCATCCACCAGGATGGCCAAATTGCCGGGGGCCGTGCTTTGAGAGAAGTCTGTGTCCATGTCCTCATCCCCCGCTGCCATCGCCTCCTTTTGCAGGTTCTGGTTCTGCAGGTACCACACGATAACGCGCGAGGTGTTTACAATGCTCATAACTGCCGCGGTGAGCTGAGCGGGCTCCATGCTTGCTGTGGTCTGGCGTCTGCAGGAGAGCAGAGTGCCAGCAGAAGCGGTCATTCAGTGATGATGGTTTGCAGACCTACTGCACCGTCCACTGCCAGGACACAACAGCTGAGCGGGCTGCACGCTCAAAGCCGTTTTATGGCGAGACAAGAGCAGCCGAGCAGAGTGGCCACGGAAGTGGCCCTGCGAGACCACTGGGAGAGCAGAGTGGCCGCGGAAGCGGTGGCTGACAACCTGTGAGGTGGATTCATGAGAGCAGAGTGGCAGTGGAAGAGGGAGCCCATGAGAGACAACATGGAGAAATTTGCTATCGAGACAAGAGCACAAGCAGGAGAGCAGAGTGGCAGCGGAAGCTGTTGTTCGATGACAATAATTAGCATCCTACTGCACCGCTACTGACAGCAGTATGGGGCCCGCACGGAAAAAAGGCGCGAAATGATTGTCTGCTGTTGCTTTCACGGAGGGAGGGGCAACTGATGACATGTACCCAAAACCACCCGCGACAATGTTTTTGCCCCATCAGGCATTGGGAGCTCAACCCAGAATTCCAGTGGGCGGCGGAGACTGCGGGAACTGTGGGATAGCTCACCCCCAATGCAACGCTCCCCAAAGTCGACTCTAGCCTCTGGTACTGTGGACGCACTCTGCCGACTTAATGCGCTTAGTGGGGACGTACGCAATCGACTGTGTAAAATCGCTTTCTAAAAATTGACTTCTATAAATTTGACCTAATTTTGTAGTGTAGACATACCCCAAGAGGAGAGCTACAGCTCTGTGCACTGCAAACTGCCCATGTTCATTGCAAAGGCATGTTCACTCTGGAGCCTAATGACACCCAACATTTAAGTTCACTGGCTACTGTTTTACAAAGAACAACCAGCTGCTCTGGGGCAGTGGGAGCCATCAGAATGGGGGGCACATCAGATACCATGGAGAGGGGACACCCAAGTTGCGGTCTCTTGGTTACCCAGGGGAAGGCCATGAACACAGACCCTCTTATTCTGCAGCCCTCCGAGACAGGGGTCGGCCACCGTGGGGAGAGACCAGGGAGCCCCGGAGGGCACAATGGGTATGGAGGAAGGTGTGGAGAGTTTGCAGAGAGAAACCCAGCGTGGTGGGTGGGGTGGCCACAAGCCCTGGAGTGACTCACTCAACTGTCCTTTGCTGAACGCTCACACAACATGCAGACGAAGCTACTCAGGATGTGAACCGAAGCCACAGGCACCTTCCCGAGGAGTATTTCGAGTCTCGGTGAACACAAACATAGCCAAGGAAGCACCAGGCTAGAGGCTCTGGCAGTTGGAAGAAAACTGCCCTGACACAGGGAGGGGGTTCCTCATGGCTTGGCAAGCAGCAGCCCTGAGCCGGGCGGGTTTTCAGCCATTGGCTGGCCAAGCCTGGGCAGAGCCAGGCTCATGTACCATTGATGTCCCTCTGGTGACGAGGGGGAAATGGCCCTTCATCCTGGGAAGAGTCACGACCTCCCCGGCAGGTGGGGCAGCACATTTGCCTTGGTGTAAGTGCAGTCTCGGAGCTCCACACTGGGCCAGGCCACGGCTGCAGGGGGTTGGAGGATTTGTACACAGGACTTTGGGGAGCAGTGAATTGCGAGGGCAGGTCCAGCAAGGAGCTGGCATGGTAGATCCTGCTCAACGCAAGCTGCCCTCTGGGTGATGGAAAGAAGCCTCCAGCCCAAGTGTCCTTGGCTTTGCTGTGCCAGGCTTCGCCCCGGCAGCAGGAAGCGGCCGGGAGCTGGCAGTGGCAGGACAGCAGGGCTCAGGCTGGGGAAACAGCCCCCTACCCCTTCCCTGACACCACAACTAGCTGGAAGATCCTGCAGCTGCTCCCCCGGCAGGACCCTCACAATGGAGGAGGGACGTTCCCTCACTCCCAAGCAGATGGGCAAAGGCACGTGCCAGCCACACTCAGACACCGGGTACCGTGCCCGCAGATCAGCCCCGCAGCTGCCCCCTCAGCCCTGCATTCCCAGCTGGATCTTCCCAGTCCCCACCTCTCTCCTTGTGCGCTGGGTCCCTCCTCGTTGCCTCTCCACCCCCCTTTGCCATTCACCCCATAGATCCTGCCACAGCCAGCTCCCCCCGCCAGCCCTTTATCCACCAAACTCTCCATCCCTTCCCACCTCTCGAAAGGAGGGGCAGGAATGCATACGCCTCCTCCTCGCCCAAAGATCCCCCCCCCATGGGCACCTACCTGGGCCCCTCTCTCCAGTGCCCATAGGAGAAGCAAGGGCACCCTCCAGCACCTGAGCAACTCCACTGCACCCTCTCCCCACCCCGGCTGGCCCCGAACGCTCAGCAGACGAAGCTGTCCCACGTGGGCGTGAGCAGCTGGTGTTTGGCCTAGAGAGAGGATGGCCACAGTGCTGAGGGACCCTAAGACAACTGTTCCTCTAAAGGACCTGTTTATCCAGAAGCTGCGTCCCTGGCCCCAATTAAGCAGACTCTGATGCTGACGAAAGGCAGTTCCGAGGGGGCCCGGCACGGGTTGCTTGCTCTTACGGCCCCAGCACGGACGAGAGGGTGCGTACGCCAGCAGGGACAGGAAAGTTTGGAATTGTACAGGGGGCTGCTAAGGGAAACCAGTCTAGCTTGTCACGGTTTCGTTTTTTCTCTGAAAGGCGAAGGCACCTGAAGGGACTCTTCCAAAATGCAATTTTTCTTGTTTGCGATTTATCCAAGAAGCGTCAGGAAGGTGAAATCTGTCCTGGTGTTGCTGAAGGTTTCCCCGACAGCCCAGGTATCTGAGAACTGTCTGAGCCCTGAACAGAAGGGGCCAGCGTTTTGCAATTCCCCTCCAAAGAGGGCTTTTCTCTCAGCTATTTATTAGGCATTTGAGTTAAATAGGTGTAAACAAAGCAATCCCGGTGTTTGAAACCGTCTGCTAAGAAACGCTGCCCCACGCAGTTCGAGGTCAGCTCTGGGGGTCTGGGATGTCCTCATCCTCCCAGGGCTCCAGAGAGTCCTCCAGGGTCAGCAGGGGAGATGAGACCTGAATGTCTAATGCAAGAGAGCAGAGAAAAGCAGCACAGAAAGCCTTCCCCGCCGCCTGTCCCCACGCCTCTGGGAAAGGCAAGAGCCCCATTGTTTTCCTTTGCAGGTTGCTTTCTGGGCTGCGGGCTGCAGGTTGCCTTTGAGAGGCTGGGCCTGCCCTACTGAGAAGGCGCCCGTTCCCCACATGGCCCCGACTTCTCCTGGCCCCTCTTCCGAGCAGCTCTGCTAAGGGGACACGCTGCAGCAGCTGGCGGGGCAGGGGTGCCTGGGGAGGGGATGCCCAGGCGGCCTCTGCTCAGGGGTGGGCTCAGAGCCCCGCCACTTCTCTCACGTGCTGGGGGAGCTCCCTCGAGTGCCCGCATCGCACCGCCCCCTCCCCGGGAGCAGCGCCCGGCGGCGCCGCCCGTGGGCGGCCAGGAGCGGACACCAGGCGGCCCCGCAGCCCGGGCAGGGCGGGCTGAGCCCCGGGCCGAGCGGGGCATCCTGGAGCTGCCGAGCGACTTCCTCTGGCGAACAGTAACCGCGCAGCGCCCCGAGGGGCCGCCCGTGGGCCCCTGGGCCAGGCCGTGACCGCATGACCCCGGCCCGGCCAGCGGCCACAGAGGCAGGAGGAAGCCGCCGGCACATTGTCCGCGGTCCCCACCCTGCCCCTCACAACCAGGGCAGCCGCCGACATCAAGACGCGTTTCCTCCCGAGCAGCAGGGCGCAGCGCCCGCGCCGGGGCCTGGCACTGCCGGGCCTGGCACTGCCGGGGCCCCCGGGCAGCGCAGGGGCCAGCTGGCCCTGTCGTGCGCCCCCGCCTTCCCCAGCAGCCGCCAGCAGCCCCGCCGGGTGACAAGACGGCGCCTTCCTGGGAGAGCCCTTAGCGGGAGCCTGGGGAAACCCTTCTGCTGGAGGAGCCCCCAGAGCAGGGGAGATGGCGCAGCCAGAGGCTGCTGGGTGCTCACCGTGTCCCGGCTGCAAAGGGTCGTGCCCCAGGGAAAAGCTCGGCAGGTTTCCAAGTGACAAGGGGACTCCCAAATCAGAACTCACACCCCGCCGCAGCCACTTCCGAATTGCACCAGCCATGGCTTGGCCCTGGAGCGTGAGGGAGTCTCGGTGCTTTCAAGTCACTGGGGCCATAGACAAGAAGTCACGGACGGACTCACCAATCCCAGGGGCTCCAGGAGCTGGACATGCCACTTCTTCCAAAACTCAGGCAGCTGCGACCCCCTCCAGAGCAGCTGCCTTTGCTCCCTGCGGCTCCTTCCCCGGCCAGCCCTCAGCTTGCAGCCAGCAGCCTCCTGCTTTACCAGGAGCTGCCCGAGCCGCCCCTCCCCGGCCAAGCTGGGCTGGTTTGAAGAGCTGCCTTAAGCAGGGACACTTAGGTCCTGCCTCCCATTAACTGCTCCACCTCCCACAGAGCAGCTTCAGCAGCCCCACCTTAAAGGGCCAGCACCTTCCTTTCTCTGTCCCCCTCGCCTTCTTGCTCCCAGTCCTTTTGCTGGGTGTGTCAGGGCCCCGTGAGCAAGAGCTGCTGGTCCCTGCAAGGCTCTGCAAACCCTCCACAGCTGTAGGGTCACCCCTCCAACCTGGAGAACAGGAGCAAAGCAGGCTCACCCAGCCACCCCCAGGAAATACCCTCCCTGGCCTCCTGCTAAGAAGCTCACCTCCATGAGTTAACAGAAGGGCTTTAAACGGGGGCCAGGGCTCAGCCCCCAGCTGCAGTAAAGTACAGTTCTACCTTGAGAAGTGACTCTGTAGAAATAGCTCCTGTCTCATCTCACCAGCTCCCTGCGTGTCTCACAGTCAGAGCCACCAACTCGACTAAGAGACAGGTCTGCCACTTGTTACTCCTGTGGGCCCTGCCATGGGGGAGGGAGCTGGAGCCTGTCCCTGTGGGCCCTGCCATGGGGGACGGAGTCAGAGTCTGTTCCCGTGTTCCCTCCGGGGCCGGCCTGGTCACAGGGGAGGTAGCCAGAGTCTGTTCCCATGGGCCCTGTGGGGCTGGCCCAGCCAAAGGGGGAGGTAGCCAGAGTCTGTTCCCATGGGCCCTGTGGTACCGGTCCAGCCAAAGGGGAGGGAGCCGGAGTCTGTTCCTGTGGGCCCTGGGGGGCTGGCCTGGTCACAGGGGTGGTAGCATGCCCTATGAAGGGCCAATTGGAACAACTCTGGTTTTAGGGGTAATCATGTATCTGGTTTTAGGGCATAAACACTTGCCAGAGGAGACCAAGAGAGACTTGTGCCCAGCACTGCTCAGCTAGCCAGGTGCAGTATGAGTGCTTTATCTCTGCTCAGGCAGCCCCACTGGCTAACCTCAGCCTCCCAGGCTTGGCTTCCGACCACAGGTTGGGTTGTTGAGGGGGAGGGCTAGTTTAGTGGTTCAAGCATTGGCCTGCTAAACCCAGGGTTGTGAGTTCAGTCCTTGAGGGGGCCATTTAGGCATCTGGGCCAAAAATTGGGGATTGGTCTTGCTTTGAGCAGGGGGTTGGACTAGATGACCTCCTGAGGTCCCTTCCAATCCTGATATTCTATGATTGTTTTTTGCCTGGCCAAAGTCAGTTCAGTTGCTTACGGACCTGAAAAAAAACTGAACCACTGAGTTAGCCTCCTGGCTAGAAGCAAATCCACCAACTTCCATGGCCCAGTGGTCTGATCGGAGATGACTGGTCCTGTGGATGGTGACCCAGTCTCGCATTGATTCAGTATCACTGTTCCTGGAACTCCCCAAAGTGTCTGTATTTCACACAGTGCCTGTGTGACCTGTACATCACAACAGTATGTCAGTCTATGGTTCCCTGTGCCCTGGCCACTCATAGTATCCAGCACGTCTGGGCTAGGACAAGGGGTCATGGTTAAACAGTGTTAGCTCACCCATTTTAACAAACATGGTTCATATTGGCCAGGAGGACAGTCATAGCTGACCCTGAATCCACTCCAGCAGCACTGGTTTGGTGGGGGTGGCAGTCCGGGTATGGACGTATGGCTAGGTTGGAAGAACGAATTGCAAAGTGCATTTCCCAAGGCAGCCAGTGATCACATGGGCACCAGAGGTTCTGGTGGTGCAGTAAGACTGGCAATGGCAGACACAGACTGCTCATCCAGCTAGCCCGTCTCAGGGACCCAGCTACAGATCAGTCCGGCTGGTGGTCCATCAGCAAGGAGGTCCTGTCCCTTTGGGAGCTGTTATGATGAGGGTGAACGTAGACATGGTTTAATACCTTTCACACCCTGTTCCTTGTTACTGCCCCCTAACATGCTTTACTGACAATAATGAATTGTAGAACCTCCCCAATGCACAGATGGGGAACCCGAGGCAACAACCAGGGAAAAGACCTGCCACGTTCCCATAGTGGATCCATGGCAGAGCCTGGAAGAGAATCTAGGTCTCCTGACTCCTAGTCTTCCCCCGACGACCAACCCCCTCCATCTTCCTTGCTACGCTGGAGCTTTTCAGCCTTCACTCTCTCTTTCTCGGGACATGTCCCACGGTTCACTATTTTGCCCCCTCACCCATTGTGTATCCTCTGAGTGTTTAGCTAGGGCTGTGCCTCAGGCAGACATCTTCAGCATGCCCTATTCACAATGACTCCCAGGCCTTCTTCTGAGCTCCCTGTCATTTCAGAGCCCAGCAGTGTGTGGGAAAAGGTCAGAGTATTTCCATGTGTTTTCTCTTGTTATATTCCGAGCCTCTTCCAGATCTCAGCTAGAACAGCAGGACTGCCATAAACATACCGGCCTCTCTTTCATCTCTGCTCCATGGGGCATGGAATTGCCATCCACAACGGCAAACATTTTTATTTTCTGGGGGAGTCGTCCTCAGTCCAGATGTGCACATTATGGGCTGGACAACCCCCTGATCTGAACCGCACCCACCTTTACACTTCAGATTAGAAATGCCCCAGGAAAGCCCTGCCTGTAGCTGATAAAGTTGGGACCAGCAGCTACCATGTTCCTAAGATTTCAAAGCACGTCTTCTGTGCACTGTGCTGGCTCTTGTCCTGTGTCTCAAGGAGCTGTTCGGGTGGGGAGCTCATGGGCGGACGTGGGGACGGAAAGGAAACCTTTCACATGTTTTGAGGCATTCTCAGAAGGAGCTAAACTTCCTGGGGGCTTTCCAGGCTGACCTGACCCTGGTGGCTTTGCTCCTCACTGGAGCACTTGCCCATGCTCCTCTCAGAACAAATCTGGGCCAGGCTGTTTTAACCCCCAGAGGAGCAGGGATATCTCAAGTAGTCTGGCTGCTGCCTATCCACGGTGAGCAAATCCCTCCCACGCTGCTCTGGTGCAAATGCCTTCAACCAGGCAAAACCACCTGCTCTGAACCACCCTGGGGCTGCAGGCATGGCACAGCCTCCCATGGAGAGCTTTCCATTCACAGGCCCCATGTCACACAGCATGGGACGGGACATCACACACCACAGCAGTGGCAGAGGCAGGACTAGACATTGTGCTGGAAATGGCCCACCAAGATTACCATGCACATTGTAGGGAGAGTGGTCACTTTGGATGAGCTATTACCAGCAGGAGAGTGAGTTTGTGTGTGTGGTTTTTGGAGGGGGGTGAGGGGGTGAGAGAACCTGGATTTGTGCAGGAAATGGCCCACCTTGATTATCATACACATTGTGAAGAGAGTTGTCACTTTGGATGGGCTATTACCAGCAGGAGAGTGAGTTTGTGGGGGGGGGGGTGGAGGGTGAGAAAACCTGGATTTGTGCTGGAAATGGCCCAACTTGATGATCACTTTAGATAAGCTATTACCAGCAGGACAGTGGGGTGGGAGGAGGTATTGTTTCATGGTCTCTGTGTGTATATAATGTCTTCTGCAGTTTCCACGGTATGCATCCGATGAAGTGAGCTGTAGCTCACGAAAGCTTATGCTCAAATAAATTGGTTAGTCTCTAAGGTGCCACAAGTACTCCTTTTCTTTTTTGCGAATACAGACTAACACGGCTGTTACTCTGAGACTAGAACATTGCTCTCCAAACCGCCCGCCCAGTGGCTCAGTCTGCGAGACCCCAGCTTCGCCCGTGATGTGGGGAGAGCCAAGCAGGAAAAGGTCGCAGTAGGCTACTTTCTCTAGTAATCTATTCCCATTCATGACAGAGCATCCCATAGCAAACATCCTGCTTGCGCTTTCCATGGGCACTGAATGAATGGAGCCTGGTGCTGTGCCTTTAATCTTGCTCTCGCGCAGGGTGCTGCTTTGAAACCAACATTTTCAAAGTGGCCATGATTCTGTGTGAAACATTCTGGGCCCAACTGCCAGAGGGGGCTGAGCACGCACAAGGCAACGAGCAGCACGGCCAGGCACCCAGCTTCTCGGATAAACAGGTTGCCTCTTTAGATGCCTGAATGCGGGTGCACAGTTAGACAGCCACTTCTGCAGATGTTAGAGTTAGAGTAGAGACAGGAGAAAAGCCCAGCAGCTCATTGCTCTTTGGCAGGTGGAATGTGCTCGCTGCTCTGCTCCTGTTCCTGTCCGCACTGCCATCAGGCAAGACATCAGTCTCTGCGCTGGTAACCGGAGCACAAGTGATCTGGAGCTCGTGGGAGACAGTTCCCCATGGGACCCACCCCCATCAGGCCACTGTACAGAGGAGACAGAGAGTGCTATGCTGTGAACCGGCCCATAGCCCAGCCAGGGCGGAGGAGATAAGACAAACACACATATTGGAAGGATGCAAGTAAGTAACCAGCACAGGAAACAGCAGGCCGAAGAGGAAAGAAAGAGATAATCAGAGCAAACACCCGGAAGATAAGTAAGGGGAAAAGCAGATACCGCGGCCAAGTGCTAGCCTGTTGGAGGAAGCGGCTCTTCTGGCTGGCCCCTGACTGGAAAGGGACTGTCTGGGGAACTCGTTGGAGAGCCAGAGACATTCAGCCTCCCTGCTGTGGAAGGCATGCCATCATCAGTACAGGGAGGCAGAACAAACCCTTTCAAAAGGCTCCCCTCCACGCAACAAAAGCTACAGCCCCCTGTCTTGTTCCTACGAAAGCCCCCTCCCAAGCACAGGGTGCCTTGTCTTTCCAGATCCCGCCAGTGATCACGCCAGGGCAGTTCATCCTGTGCAGCTGGGCCTGGTTATACAGTGGGGTGAATGGTGCGTTTGCAACGGGGTAATGTACTGTGCTCAGACCCCCGAGGGATACTCAGGAGAGGGGCCTAACCCTGAACATGGCTGAGACGTCAGACCTTACACCGTGGGCATTTCTGTGCACTGAAAACCTCTAAGGGTATGTCTACACAGCCAACAAAGTCCTGTAGCAGC